TTGTCAACGCTGAACAACCGACTTCGTCGAACGACCGTCGCACTTGTCGTCGTGCTCCAAATACGCGTCTTAATTCACGGCCTAATAATAAATTGGAACGCGCCCCGTGACGCCAGGAATATCCACGGCCATTTCGTTTTCCGCTTATCGATTTCCTGAGCGACTCGTTTTATGTGTGAGCGAGGCAAATGAATTTATATAATTGGAGGTTGCCGAGGTTGAAGGAACGCCCTAGATTGACACTTTGTAAAATTTCACTCTTCTGTTTTACATCTTCTTATTGTCGGATGTCATCTTAAAATTTGAATTTCAAAGGAACTGGACATTTGAGTTACATGCAAAATGTTCCTTGTCCATATCTTCGATCATTTGTTTCGTATATCCAACGAAAAGACCTATAAATTATGTCTTATCGCAGTTACTGTAAGCATTTATTTAATACTCCATTCTATGTTGATCTACTACATTTATTACGTTGCTACGACCATATAAATTAAATTGCGTTTGTTTACCTATTAAATGGATTGAACACGTTTTCATCGTTTCAGTTTCTCATAACTGATTGATTGTCCTTGCAACTAGGAATTCCGAGCAATTGGAATAATTTATTATTTCTTATCAAAATTAAAATAGTACATTTCTTGTGATTTAGAATGTCTCTCATTATTATATTGTACAAATATTCGAAACTATTTTAAAATCTCTCACAAAAGCGTCTTCAGAAATGCAATAATTAAAAATAAAAATCTTAAAATGTCATTTCTATCCGTCTAGTAATTCCAGTATTAGAATCTGCCCCAGTAAATACACAAAATTCGGGATTGACATGTTTAATCCTATTCTAGTAAATAATTGCCGAAAATAACCTTACTCGATTCCTGTCACAGAAGCAAAGTTCATTAAAAAAATCTCTGACAAGCGTCAAATGCCGTGTATCTCGCGCGTTTCGCGTAATTCATAAGCCCCGAGTTATTGGAACTTCTCAGGATCCTAGAAGACGAGGGATTAGCCGTTAATTAAAATTATTTTCTACCGGCATTCGGCCACGTAGACAAAATTTATAACCGGATTACCCTTTTCCCGGAAAATTCAGAATACACCGGCGTTGAACATTATACCGTGAAACAACTTGAAACATTAAAACGCAAGAGGTTTTAAAATAATCCCATAGGTGTTGCGAAAAAGGAAAGTGTGTTTTACTTGCACCCGCCGCGTAATGCTTGTTCCAGGCCACTCGGCCGTCTGTTTGGCTTGTTGCTGAACGTAATTACCGCTACGGAGCAGAATTCTTCAGCGCGGAAAATGCCTCTCGAAATGAACGAGTTTTTAAAATGAAAACAGCCCGGGCCGCAACGTTCTTGTTGGTCGAAATTCGAACGTAATCAGAAAATTTTTAATTTAGATATTTAATCAGATATTCACATTATTTCACGTGCTCCAATAGGGTTTTCGAATTGCTTGAAAAGAAATATAACAAGACAAATTAAATCGAAATGTTTAGCAATGTAAATAACTAGGTAACAGCTTAATGTAAAAACTGTGATAATGAATAATAATTGTATCTAAAAACATTTATTTTTCTTGCATATGAAGAAGTTGCATATAAAACGTTCAAGACTCTCGTGGCAGTCGGCGTGCTAATACTGCCACGGTGGTCACCAATAATCGGAGCTTCCAAATTACTCGAAAATAATTACAATAAGAAAATTGACGTCGAATACAAATAATTAGTAACATAAACAGCTAGATAATAGTGAAATCTGAGTACCGTAACACTAAATAGTTAATAGTTGTTTTTAATATCATTTGTCTTTGCTATGAAAGAATAGGTATTACTGTACGAAACGTTCGAAATTCTCCTAGCAGTCAACATAATAATAACAGTGTTTCCACTTAATGACAGTACCGCAACAGCGACACTTCTCCTTATCGATTCAATACCAACACGAATGTGATAATGCTATAATCACATGATTAATTTAATTTCAAACTTCTATACATTCAGTATTTTCTCTTCCTCTTCTTATCATCTTGTCAAATAACATTATTGTTATTGCCATATATTTAAGATTAAATTCCGATATTTTTCAAAGATGTGCAACGACTTTTATTCCGATCTCCTACGAACTGAAACAACAGTGCTACAAGGAGAAGACCACTCGAGATGAACGTTGATACCTCCATTTTGACCGACTTTTGTTATTGGCTGGGTCGCGTAAACGAAGAACGCAAATGATATAGATATTACGATAAAGAATGAACATGAGCGTCAACTTCTTATTTGTATCTCACTTTGTCGTATTCTGTTTCATATGCGATTTTTGTTACCTCTGTTGATCGCAAATAAAACAAATTGCAATGAAGATCGTAACAAAAATCGCAAATGAAACAGAATACAATAAAATGTGATACAACTATAGGAAATGAATATATGAGCATCCATTCCTTATTTGTATCTCACTTCGTTATATTCTGTTTCATTTGCGATCTTTGATTACGCGAATTAACAAATAAGAGAAACGCTAGAAACCGAGGCGTCAACGTTTATCACGAGTAGTCGTGTCCCCTTGCCACACTTGCCCTTTCTGTTCGACGGATACGTGAACAGACGTCGTTTGTGGACAGTACGGAACCGATCATCGTAAGTGTACGTCTTTCTTTGTCCCTCTGCACTTTTAACTCAGTGGATTTTCTCAAGACGTGAGAGCTGCATACATTCCTTTCAGGGCTTTTCTCCTGTACAATGCTGAGTACTTATATCTATTTAACCCTTTGAGAGCTGAATACTTCCGGCCGAAATATTTCGTATAGACAGAATATTTTGTTATTCACCTGAAGATTGATGAATTATGTTAATTCATACAATTAAGTAAGTTGTAATTGAATTGTAATTGTAATTCTTCAGTTTCACCAAACTGAATAATGCTAAGAAACGTGTATATTAGACACGCATTTATAATTATCACCACGGCATGTGTGAGATTAAAACAATTTAAAAACTCATATATGCGCTCAAAGGGTTAATTCAGTATATACCATGCTGTTGCGTGAAAACGAGCTTAGATGATCGACAACCTTATCCAGTCAGTGACTCGTCGCTTTTCGAGCTTTCATCCAAACTTCAAAAGAAATAATAAATATCTTACGCTCAAAGTTCTGCGGCGTGTCGCGTTCGTCGCGACTTTGCGAACCGGAAACGAGAGAATCCTCCGGGGTGGATCGTCCATTCCGCAATCGCGAAGCAATTTTACGACTGCGGATTCATTTATTACTCTTTGCTCGAGTAGCTATCGGAGCGGACGAGCGGCGGCGGCAGCGGCGATGGCGTAGCCCGGCAAATGTTTTATTGCCGATATTGTTGGCCGAAGATAAAGCGGAAGCAAGCTCGCGATAGCTGTGCGCGCTCTGCCGCGATATTCGCGCTATCCGGAGTGTAACGGCGAGCGGTCGCGTGTGTACGGCTTTATTGCTCGTAAATACAAAGAACTGAAAAAGAAGCGGACGAAACTGAGGGCGGTGGGTCGGCTGAAACGAAAGGAAAGGGGTTCGAGGAGTACCTGGCGCGCGTCTTATTGCCTTTCCAAAAGAAGTTGCGCGCTACGTTTAAAAATATATCCAGGATATATATATATAAGTCTTTGTATTAAGGATGGAGTACGTGAAATGTCGTTTTCTCCAATCAAATTGCCGGATCGTTTAGTTTCCTACGAAGCTTCGTATATTACATCGAAACCGCTTCTATGGGATTTTGTACTACTTTTGTAGTTACGCTTCAACTCTCTACGCTATAATAATCTATTTCTCCTTTTATTAGTAATGAAAAACAATTTTAAAGTTTAAGGTACGCAATTTTACACATGCTGAAATCAATATTTCTTGTAACATTTTTCTCTTTGGATATTTGCTAACAAATTCATTAGTTGGATATTTAAATTTAAATTTGTAGAAAATTAATGCATTTTTTAATGAAAAATGGTAGGTGATTGCTTTCTAAGGATATATTGTAGAATATTATTTTATGCATTCGAAATTATCTTCCCATTATTAACTATATCTAGTATATAAACAATACTGTGAATAGATTTTTCCCGTTTTCTTTTACAAAGTGTCCATGCCTACCGCTCAGATCAGTCTTATCGTTGGAATACGAGCGTGTATAAACAAAGAACCGTGGGCAGAGTTCCAAGATCTATTTCTTACGCAACATTCAGCATAAAAGTGAGAAAGAAACGTGCACATAAGAGAAAAGGGTGATATTTTTTATGAAAGTGTACTAGTATATATATAAAATACAAATTTTTTACATTTCTGTAAATATTTACACCTCTCTAAATTAACTTTATTCAGTTTAATATATGATTGACTACTTCATATTATAAACTCATTGAACTTACTATTATTATGGTTAATATTAAAATATATATAGTAAGTATTCAATTATAGAACACAAATGATCTCGTTACATGCTTTCAATCCTTTAATTAATCATTTCTTATGAAATTCAAGATAATTACAGAAAATAATTGCTATGACAAAAAAATCTGTTAAAACCTGTGATAAATTTCACAAGCATTAGCTTCAATTGCAATAAACAACTTCCAACCGATAAACCGTTAGTACATAATGAATATCCGGAAATAATACTTTCCTTATTGTCACAGGGTAAAATTTTGAAACTTCCCACAATAACGTATTAAATGTCGGTCCTAGATCTCCCCATCCTCCCCGGTTTGATAATCCCTGCCGGGTAACGGATAAACGATCGAAAAAAGAAACATCCCCCGTGCAACCCGAGTGAAAAGCTCCTTTGCGTTAAAGAACGACCAGCCTGACGAATCGCGATCACGTCGATCCGGTCGGCTTAAAGCGAAGCGAATTAGCAGGCGCTTTGCGAGGCCACCCGCGACGCACCCCTCGCACTGTCCTTTTCATTTGTTCTACACTGTTTTTCGCGTCTCCGTAGTCGTGCCGTAACGAGTGTCCCGTTGTGATTGTTGCAGCTTATGGTAATTTGGGCAGCGTCCTGAGCGCGCAGGGACGCGTCGCGGAGGCAGAGGAGGCGTTTGTCCAGGCGCTTAGTTATCGACCGAACATGGCGGACGTGCACTACAATCTGTAAGTACGCTGGACGTTGTTCCAATAATCCACTTTGTTTCTCTACCTTTTTCACCGGTGCTCGATGGTGGCTAATGGCGATGAGCGCGGGTAACTTCGATCCACGCTTCCAACGAAATAAATTAGTGACGCGGTATTAGGCCACGAGTAATGAATTCCGCTAGCAAGCTCTTTTTCCGCCTGAAACTCCTTTACATCCTCGATTACTAGCAAATAATTAATAGCGGAACAAACATATTTTCTTCCGAACATTTTAACAGAATTGAAGTTCCGTTTATTCTGGCGTTCAGATCTATGTCTAGAACAAGACGACAGAAAGAAGCCCGCTTTTCTCCGCCAGAAAAGTGGTGGATGTAGAAACGGCAAAAATCAGTAAAACATTATCAGTCAGAGAAATCCCCATTACAATTGCAATCCCTAACCGGGGACGTTTTCCGAGTTGGTACAAATCGTCACTTCGTCTCCAACCGTCAAGACAGCTAATCCCGATTCGACAGTCAACCGGCAAAAAACTTAGTTACACTACCACCACGTTTGTTATCCACAAATCTTATTTTGAATACTTTAAACGCATTTCGCTGACATTAATTTGCCAAACGAGCTATCGAATCTCGTGAAACTTTAACCCTTTCGTCTCGAATGGTACAAATAAAAGGATTATCTTATTTCTTCACTGAAAAGCTTTAGTTTCACTGGAAAGCAATTGTTTCTGGTCCTTTCTTTGATTTAGGGAAAACATACATATTCAGGGATGAAAGGGTTAAGCAAATTAAAAGCACATCGCGAAATAGTCCAAAACAGCATTGTTAAATCCTTTATGAACGGGACGGTTCGAAGCCGAATCTTCCGTGAGGTTGAGCCGCTCTCACGATAGGCCAAGTTTATCTAGCTCGCAGGCCAAGATGGTTATGAATATGTGAAAATATATGAAATATATTGAATATATGAAAACTTTATGAGATTGCGACTAAAAGACCTATGGACAATATTAGAAACACAAGTTGAACGTGCTATTAACTCTTTGCGGACGAAAATTTTTCAAACTTTTACAAATTCGTTTTATAATAAATTTAATTATGTATCGAAATCTTAAATATCAGAAAGAAAGCCACATGTCAATTTCTCATTGTTTAAATAATTAAATTATTTGTTCGCAGCTATCGATTTTAGGTATGACAGTTCGAAGTCGTTATTACGACGACATTCGATCTCAAAGGGTTAATTTATGTGCGGTTTATAATAACCCGTCTTCTTTCAATTAGGCCCAGGGAAGCTAAATGATTGGACATCCCTGCGATAGGGATTTGTAATTACCAGTGCACATTTCTTCCTACACGCTATTATTGTTTATACCACTCCAAGACGCATGTATTGGGTCTACCTATAAACAATACGGTTTTTATATCCTTTATTTTTTAAAATAAACATAAACAAAACTGTTTTTAATCTAAAACGTATTCTCTTTCATTATCTATAAATTGTCCATCTATACATTATAATTAATTATACGAAAGTTTTGTTTATCTTTATTTGTAAAAATAAGAGGAATAGAAAAATTAGAAAAAATGAAAACATATATGCGGCGGTCATCTGCGAAGGGTTAAATCTTTCTAGAAAATAGCTTCAAACAATCGCGGAACGTTGCACAACTTAGTCCGATTCAATTCCGTAATCTAGGACTCAAAATCCGGATCAGAATTAACATCCACCCGCGCGGTAGCAGTGACGTCGCGCAGCTGTTCCGAAAATTCACATTTTTTTTCATCTGAACTAACACGGCGGACGTTCACCTGGGGAGTTCAGAGTCGACTGTCGAATTTGCGTAATCCGCGAGCAAAGCGCTGTCGGTCCGCAAATCTTGCGAGCAATGAAGTCGCTTCTGACTTAAACAGCTGCCGCGCTAGCGAGAATGCTATGTGAAATCCCGAGAAGACGTGACAGCGTCGTCAAACCTACGAAAATAAAGGAGGATGAAACCGCTGATCCGCGGTGGAAAATCGGTGCATACCGGACTGAAGGAATTTTACCGATCGTCATCAATGCATGGTTAGATCAGTATCAGTATTTCGATCACTATATTATCAGTCGAATGTGCTCGGAATGGTATCTTGTTGCTTCAACTGAGACTCCACTTAGCGGTGGCTTCATATACAGGATGAAAATATGCGAATATATTCCGTGATAATACAAGGACTAAGATCAACTTTCGGGGTTATTAAAGGTAGATTTATGGATATTTATTGTACAACTTATTCATATGCAACATATTCGCGTAATTCCATCAATCAAAATGGACCCAACCATTTACCAAATAATGTTTATAAAATTCAATATGAGTCAAATTGGCTTCCATAAATTTAATGTTAACACTAGAACTACCGAACGTTTAATATAATCAATGTGTAATCTGTAAAAAAATTGTGACAATATACTTTTTTCGCATTCTTCATGTACTCATTATAGTATTTAAATAAAGCTATTTATTTTTTAAATCACTTCGGATATTTAATAGTTTTAAGGTGTTAATAACTGCGAAATGAGGCAACTGGAACTCGCCATTTGAACGAGTGTGGTAGTTCTAGTGTTAATTACCCCGCTTGGAACGATTTGTTTTTGTCAAGCTATTTTATTTATTGACAGTGGACTTAATACCTGTTCACTTAGATAACTATACAGTTCAAAGTTTAGTGTCTAGTTTCAAAGTGACTTTTCATTTCCTTCCTATGAAAGTATTTTAAGAATATTTAATTATTTTGTTGGATAATTTTTTATTAAAGTAGTTTTGTCAGCAGCATGTTAAATTCAGAAATTATGATAATCATATTATTATTGCGCATATACTAACGTCTTATCGAAGAATAGCATGAAGTTAGACGTTGATAAATGAACGATATTTATGAACCAGTATCACATGAAAGTGTTATAAAATGTGTAACACAATTACCTTAATGAAAATTTAGTAAAACAGAACAATAAATTCTGATACGCGTTGTATACAATTATTTAATAGAACGAATATTTGACCAAAATATGATAATTACACGTGTATTACATAAATTATAAATACTTAATCTTTACAATGAAATTACTTGTATAATAAACTTCTAATTACTTCCTTTTAAGTATAAAACAACTTTCACCAGTTTAACTGCGAAAGATTCATTTCACCAGGCAAGAGATTAATGCAAATAAAAATGGGAATAAAAATAAACGAATCTCGTATAGCGGGATACTGTCTCTGAACAGTTGGCGAAGACTCATCCTTAATATCCTTAATTAGTTGAATGGATTTTTAAGCTCCACAAGCTTTTATTTTAAACACTTTTTAAGCTTGCAGCATTTAAATTTTATTCGAAATAAAGTATTCAGGTTAATTATAATTACCTTAAGTACAAAAATAGTAATATTGAAGCTATATGTATCTTAAATATGAAACATTACTTTACCATTGGAAAATTAATTCATTGTCTTACAAATTACTTTGATTCAAACCTTTTTGCTTATGCTATTTAATTTTATTGCAACCCTGTAAACACGACTGTTACAAGGAAAACTGAAATATGATAGTTTCAATTAAATCTATTTATGAAAATAAAAAAATTATTTTAGTTACAATACGGCATATTCATAAAATAATTGACAAAACTAAGTTTCACTCAGAGAACACATACAGGCGAGACTTATCATTTCCATCAAAGGCTTAATCCTTCAGTAATGACACCCAATTTATTTCAATTCTTTCAATTCTTTTTCATTCTCCGTTACAAATATTGCCATTATTTATTGGCAATTTTCTTCTGAGTACATGTGGTATAATGTGATCGAAAGATATTCAAAATATTAATTACTCATTACCATCCCTTTCTATGGATTTCTAGGAAATTTTGCAATTTACCTTCAAAGAGTAGTTTCATTAAAAGTATGCCCATCGCAAAAGGTTAATTCTAAAAAGTAGAATAAATAATAATGAAACATTAAGAAAAAGAATGAAGGCATCACGAACAGTATCAGAGTTGATGCACCGACGCCATCCCTAAGGAGATAAACAATCAAGTCATGAAAATCTGTGACCTGAAAACTCCTTTCCTCTGATGCATGTACCTTCTGTCTCACAGTCACTGAACTGAAAGATTCCCGTATCAGGAACGAATTCTTCCCAAGTGCGTTCACTTTAGTCATCCAGTTTAGTGCGCACGGCGTTGGCTGGCGAACCGCCAGAAGTCTCGCAGAACTTTCGATCAGTGCTCATCATCTTCCGATCCTCTTCAGGTCGGTTCGAGGAAAACGTAGAAGCCTGTCAAGCAAAGTGAGTTGATAAGCCGCCGCTGGGCATTCCTCTGCGAGCTTGCGATAAGCCGCTCTACGTATACCACACACTCGGAGCAACATAGTTATACATTATGTGCGAGAAAACCGGTCAACGTCCGTAAGTGGGTCGAGCAGTCCAGGAGACTCGGCTTGTTTTATAGAGGCCCGCCGCGAGGACACACCGCGAAGACGGTTGGGAAAGCGAACCTATTCATCTCTATATTCTCCCTGACAATTAGCGATACAAAGCTTCTACGCATAAGTTCCTGAGTTTTTCATCCAAGTCCCATGATTAACCTCTTAACCTCTTGCGCTGGAAAGACGTACCACGCACGTCGTGATGCTTTTGTTCCAAAATTACCGATGAAGTCTTATGCACATCAATAGTCTTGTTGCATTACACATACCAGATTATTTTTAAATATGTCACTATATACAAAATTATTAATACGAAAACTAGCGGACGGGTTAAATTTATCCACTTCAGAATTTTTATTTTGCAAATATTTAAATTATGATGCCGTTTTTGTGAAAGATTTTCAACTAAATTTGTGCATTTGCACAGATACGAGACTAGCAGACCCTTCGAATCTCAAGAAAAGTAGTGTTCTAATTTTTTTACAAAATTGGAAATAAGTTACTCTAATTACTCGGTAGTTTTACTGTTAATAAACAACATTAGCGTACATATC